GAATTTCTTTGTATGATTAGTAAATAAAATAAGACAATAGGGTCCCTTGAAAAGGAAGAGATAGGTGGAATGGAACACACACGAGAGAGAGAGAGAGAGAGAGAGAGAGAGAGAGAGAGAGAGAACTTGATTGAGGGCCATAGGTTATTTTTCATGGATAAAAATCTATCTGTGAGAGCAGATGCTTCAGAGTGGGTTACTGTTCTTGTTAGAGTCCTCTGAGAAGTCAATTACGTATTTAAAGAGGTGCATTTAATTATTTTAGATCTCTATAGCTCATATTCCGTAAAGACATTAACATTACATTTCTCTTGGCTCCCAAAAGAAGGATCTGAATTTTCCTGTGCCAGGAGTTGTGCTACACTCAGGACTGTCTTCTGTTTAAGGAACTCGAAAGATACCAGAGGTTAAAACACACCACAAATATATCTGTATGTGAAAAATACAGCCTAGTATATAGGGATCACATAAAAAAAAAATCTAGCTAGCAAACTCTGTGTGGGAACTGAGTGAGGAGAAGGATTTTATCTAACCTCAGATTTCCATTGATCAGGAAACAAGTGTTTTACAAATTTAGACTTCCCATATGCCAAAAACTTCAAATAAAATGATGACTAACAAATCTATTCAATTAAAAATCTAGTAGAATGATCAATTTCTATTATTAGAGTTGGATTTTGAAATTTAAGTATCTTTTAAAAAATATTTTTATGTAATGTATTTTACCTGCATGTATGTCTGTGTATCATGTATATTCAGTACACAGAGATTCCCCTGGGCCTAGATTTTCAGACAGTTATTAGATGCCGTGTGTGTGCAGGGAGTTGAACTGGGTGCTCTAAGAGTAGTAAGTGCTCTTTAATTGTGGAGCCATCTCTCTAGCCCCTTTGCTAGGGCGTTTGTTTGTTTGGTGTGTGTGTGTGTGTGTGTGTGTGTGTGTGTGTGTGTGTGTGTGTGTGTGTGTAGTGCCCATGGAGGCTGAAAGAGGACACTGGATTCTCTACAGCTGGAATTAGAAGCCGTTGTGAAATATCCACCTTGAGTGCTGCAAACCAAACTCTGATCCTCTGAAAAAGCAGCAAATGCTGTTGACTGCTTAGGCACCTCTCCAGACACTAGGCTTATCTCTGGAATCATCTCTCTGATAACTGAAAATAAATATTTCCTTGGTGGTTGGAGGCAACTGAGTGTGTACATGTGTGGATGAGTGTGGGAGGGTATATACCCACACACCTATGTGCAGAGGCCAGAGGAGGACATACAGGTCTTGCTCTATATCCCCTTGACTTAGAGCTAGGCTGGTAGTTAGCAAACCACAACAGTCCTCTCATCTCTGCCTTCTACAGTGCAAAAGTTACAGGCATGTACAGGCTTGCCTGGTTTTTTTAAATCTCATTTTAGGGGTTCAAATTCAGGTCCTCCATGTTTTCTCTTACCCACCGAACCATCTGTCTATCTCAAGGAGCAATTTTTAGGATAAAATGTTTCAATTTTAACATTCACTACATGGTCTTCACAGTTTTGTATTAAATATTTTTCCCTACTTGTATTGTTGTCAAACCACAAGTCATCTTTAAAATTATGTTTCGAAAAGTATGTGTAGGATAGTTGTAGTAACACATGCTTGTAATGCTAGCATCCACAAGTACAGAGCAGGATGGTCATAACTATATAGAAACTGGATATTGACATACTGACTTATTAAAAAAGTTTTCATAATGTGATCAAATGTTACATAAGAGAAAAAATTAATCACTCATCTGTCTTCCTAGAGATCATATGTCTTAAGCTGGCCTCAAATTCCCTATATGGTCTTATTAGTGAAGGATGACCTTAGACTTCTGATCCTCCTGATTACCTTCTTGAATGTTGGGATTACATGTGTATGGCACCATATCCAATGTATCCATTGCTGGGGTAAAACTAGGGTTCTATCAGGTGTGGTGGTGCACACCTTAAGTCCCAGCACTCATGAGATGGAGGCAGGTGGATCTTTGTGAGTTTGAGGCCAGCCTGGTCTACAAAGTGAATTCCAGGACAGCTAGGGAGTTCCAGACAGAAAAACCTTGTCTTGGAAAAGCAAGAAACAAAACAGTGGTCACCTTAGCTACAGAACTAAGCCCTGATTCCTAGTTGTATTCTTCTGACCAAGATTATTAATTCAATTTATATTTCCTTAATATAATAATAAATATGTATGCCTCATAAGAATATACCACAATGTTGGTAATATTATTATTTCTCTTTTATAGTTGAGAACATTGAGCTTTAGAGCTGATTAGTGACTATAATGTATTAGTCAGGGATATAGGGGCAGGGAGCTTTTCTCCTACATGTTAATGTTATCACAATGGGAAATGATGATCTGAAGGTTACTATTAATATTTACAAAGACAACAGAAATTGAAATTTTAAAAGCCTCTTGTGGAGATATTCCTATCACAAAACACACTTTATGACAAAAGTATAACAAGTTTACTCAAAGTTTTCCATACATGCAAAGGAGCCTTCCTAGTCAAGACCAATGGCACAAGAGGAGGTACCTGTGGTTTGAATGAGAATGTCCCCATATGTATGAATATTTGGTCCCCAATAGGTAGGAGCTTTTATTTTGGAAGGAGTAGTAGTTGTGCCCTTGTTGGAGAAGGTTTGTAACTAGAGGTAGGAATTGAGGTTTCAAAAGGCTCAGTCATTCCCAGTTAGCTTTCCCTCTGCCTGGTACTTGGGGATTGCCTGTTCATGGTGCCATACCTTTGATGTATAATTAATTATGGACTAAATGACTGGAACTGTAAGCCCATGTAAACTCCTTATTCTATAAATTGCCCTTGTTGTGACCTAATCACAGAAATAGAAAAGTAACTAAGACCCTATCTGATTTATGCTGAGATTTGATGAAGTGTGGACAGCCATATAGAAAGGTGATTTTAAAAATGTCACAAACCAAAAGAACTGGACACCAGTTTTAGCACTTCCACTGCGGAGCATGGAATGATGATCTCAATGTATTCCTCCCTCCCCTACTTTTCTTCCTTTCCTTTTCTCTATCACACATATATGATATAGTCTTATGAAAATGTAAAGAAAGGGCAATGATCTGCAGTCTCTGTTTAAGGAGTGGTCACACTTTTGTACACTCTTATCCATAGTAGCTCTGCTGTGTATTCCCTTCTGAGAGTTCCAGGTGTCAACTACAATGCAGGTAGTCATTATACAGTGACAGGTAGCCTGTAATTCCTTCAGAATACTCTTGCAGTTTTGGTACCCTTTAGTGCTCAGAAAGGAAAGACAGAAACACATTTAGGCAGTAAGTGACTATTGTACAAAGGATTGAAGGAAGAAGCAATACATTAAAAGTAACTACAGCCCTGGAATTCTTAGGGTCTGCTGGAGGTCAAGGAGATAAAGTTTTATATAGATGAAACCCGGTACCTGTCTTTAGGATCATCTGGTCTAGTTGGGAACTAAGAATGACCTTGTTTATGTAGCATATCTTTCAATGTGTTGTAGATCAGAGGAGAACAGTTCTTAGAATAGTCCCTTCACAGGAAGAATACAAGAATCAAGAAATCAGGCTTGCTGGTGGCTTTGGAAAACTTGTGTTGAGAAAGCAAGGAGATACCTTTATAAAGCTAAGATGTGATATGAATTGTATTGACTAAATAGACAGTTTATGAAACATGGAAAAATCAGGCCCTGGTGTTTAGGTCAGACTGACCAAGAAATCTCTTAAGATCACTGTCCACCACTTTTTCTTGGAAGTTGTGTATAACACATCTCAAAAAGAGTTAACATTTTCTTTTCTCTTCCTCTGCCTCTGATGGGGTTTGGGCCTAGAGGCTTATACCACAGCCTAAGAAAGAGCTCCCACACAGAACTATATCTACAGATCACTTTTTACATTTTATTTTGAAACAGGGTCTCCCAAAGTTATCCATGTTAATTTTAAACTAATTCTCCTGACTCAGCCTCCTTAGCTGTGACCACCCACCTGAAACTCTGACTGGTACTACTTAACATGTGTACTCTCTAACCCAACTAAGATCCTTAAGGCTTTTGAAATGCAAACGGTGGGCTTGCTTAAGCATTCCTCATTTCTTCATTCCACAAAAGTTCATGCAGGATCTCCTAGTGTGAGAATTTTGTTAGGCACTATTGGGGGGGGGGGCATGTATACAAAAAGAATTCAATTTGATTCCAATCTCTCAGGACCTTTTATCTCAGCAATGAAAATAAATGAGTACACACAAGACACTATCATGGGTGAGAGCAGGATTGGGGGAATTCAACCCTTAGAATATGTGGTGGTGTTAAACACACACACACACACACACACACACAAAACAACAACAACAAAAAAGAGGTTTCTTTTGTTTTTGTTTTAACAAATTGGGTTTTGAATTAACTTTAAAGCGTTATGCTAATAGTCAAGATCAAGACTCGAAGTTCAGGGTGCAATAAAGAACAGATGTTTGATTTGGCTGGACAATCAGGCTGCTTGAAGGGTAGTTTAATGGGGGGGATTTAGATGGTATAACCCAGGCTAGAGCCAGGCAAAAGGAACCTAAACTGAGATCTTATTTCTTCTTTTTATATTTTGACTTAACCTTCATTAGATTCCTTTAGTAAATTTACCTCTTTCCTAGAGTTCTAATAGTTTGTGGTAGGGTGGGTTTTGTGGTGGGGTGGGTTCAATGTGTAAGTTAAGGGCTTGCAAAGCGGCCCACTAATGACTTAAATTCCATACTTTGTGAGCCAGAAAAAGAAACATATGAGAGGCTGTTTATGCCGAGCCCATTTAACAACACCAGCCACCCCCCTCAAGATACCAGCTGTTGCCCGGGCAAGCTGCAGGCCAGACCTGAGAGCGGAGAGACAGAGCTGGCGGGAGCTCAGAGCCCTGAACTGGCGGGCCAGGGTTGAGGAAGAGAGGGAGGGAGGGAGGAAACGCGAGAGGGAGGGAGGAAGAAAGAGAGGGAGGCGTGTCATGTGATCCGCTTCCCTGCTCCTTTAAGCGTCCACTGGCTGCCGAGCGGCCGCAGTCTCAGCTCTAGGCATCTGGGGAGCCCGAGCGGCTTCGCCCAGGGATCCGCGCGGGCGCCTGCGGTCTGGATCCCATCTCCTCTGTGCTATCGCACCCTTGAAGTTTTGCAGCACCAGGAAAAGAGGACAAGGAAGAAGAGGGGAAGCGAAAGCAAAATCTAAAACATTTATTTAAAGGAGAAAAGAAGCGGGGCGCAGAAATGGCTGGGGCAATTATAGAAAACATGAGCACCAAGAAGCTCTGCATTGTTGGAGGGATTCTGCTGGTTTTTCAGATCGTTGCCTTTCTAGTGGGAGGCTTGATCGGTAAGTGTAAGAGCTGCAAACTTTCCCCTTTCCCTCTCTTCCGCCCTTGCCTCTTTTGCCTCTTGGGCTACTTGTTACAGTATCGCTGCCTTGCCTCTATGATCTAATTAGTCCGGCTATTGTGCTTAAGAAAGCAGAGCTCCATGGGGCTCCATGGGGCACAATTCAGTCTAGTGGCAAAGAGAAAAGGAGGGGAAAAGTTTTGGCCTAGTTTCAGTATCCACTTGAAAGGCAGGAGGGGGTGGGGGTGGATCTTAAGCATGGCGACGGATCGCGAGGAAGTGCTGGGTCCCAAAGTTGACTGCTCCCCCTGCTCTTTCCCTTACCCGCCCCCTTTTCCCTCTCGGTTCCCTTCCAATCAGCTCCGGGAGGGCAACGTAATCGACTTTATTAGGAATAACAGGAGAGTCCGAAGCTGCGCCCTGTGTCAGCCGAGAGCTGTGGCTGTTGTGGCTTGTGTAAATGCCTTGGGTTGTCTCGGAGAGGGACTAGGGAAGGATTTAGGGTCTCACCCTTTATCCCTTGGCTTCCTCGCCTCACCCACCCACCTCTGCGGTGGACTGCTCTGAGTTGAGGACACGAATCGGGATGGACTAGGGTGGCTCGGGAGAGAACTGACCCTCGCAGCACGAACTTGGAGAGGGCGTAGCGGAAAGCCCCTGTGAAAGGTGTTGCTTTTTTTTTTTTTTTTTTTTTTTTTTTTTTTTTTTGGCCTGTTGTCCCCTCTGCCATCTCCCCTCCCCCTCTGCTTTGAGCCCCAAGAGCCAGTGAGTCGGAAACCTGGGGTCCTCCCCTGGCGCCAGGAAGACGATTCCTGCTCCCTCCTGGGCTGCCCTCAGGTGACAGCTCCCAAAGCCCCAGCAGCGGCGCCAGGGAGACTTTCCCAGAGCCCACCAGCCCGACTTCTTGAGCCGAAAAGGCTTCCGAGGTAGCCGACCTTGTGCTTGGGCATCCATTCGGAAAACTCAACTTGCTTCATTCCTCCTCAGGTCCCTTCCTCCTCAAGATTCCGAACAACCTTGCACAAACTTCAGTGCCAACTTTGGAGCGGGTGCGGCTGGGAGGTTTGGCCTCCTTGGGGCTGGCTGTTGCTCTTAGCTGAATGGAAGAGCGCTGGAGCGGGGACTGGGTGGGGTGGGGGTGTCTCTGCCCCTCCAGGGAACCTTTGGGTCACACAGGAGCTCTCCAGACCAGCCGGGAGTCATGGGCGCGGTGTTCTCCCTCTAGACTCGGGTGTGTTAGGTTCGCATTCCAGAGACTCTGCTACTGCCAATCTTTGTAACATTGAGGTTAACTGTTTTAAACAAAGGAGAGTGGGAGAAGCTTCAAGAAGGGAGTTTTTAGAGGAGATCCAATACATGAGTTTTCTAAGCCTCTGACCTTCGTGCGCGCTTGCACACACACACACACACACACACACACACACATACACACACACACAGCTAAACAGCTTTTTCATTACACACACACACACTCACACATGCGCGCGCGCACGCAAACACACACACACACACACACATCGGTTTGGGCTTTTGTTTTGCAACGCCATGTAGAATCTCTTTCTCTGTATTAGATTTTCTGGCTCTTAATACTTCTCTGCTGGGAGCTGTAGGCAGCTGTAGTCCAGGCGCGCTCACAGTGATTATACCGCGGTTACAATTACACCTCTTGTTTCCCTTGATGAGCAGTTGCAGTTAGATGCTATTGGATCTTGTGTGATTTCAGTGGCAGACCATAATAAAATTTCTTGCACCTTGTGCTTTCAGAATTAAATTGGCCTATTATCCTTGTCTGACCTTCCCCTTTGAGGTTTTTGCACATAGTAAGCCATTACAGTTTCCTGTCTCTGCAGCCCCTCCACCTCCCACTTTACTCCCCCCCCCCACACACACAAAACTGATGTGAGCCCACAGAGTTCTTGCTTCCTGTTGTAGGCTTCCTGGAGCCCTTCTGGAACTAGCATATTTTCTGGAACCTCACTATTGCACTGAGGAGATCCAGGGCTCCCGAAAGTGTCTACTGGACATTAGAATGACCAGAGTTAGAGAAGTTTTGTTCAAACCAGGGTTTAAAGTACATAGTGCTAAGGGTTTTCTCCCAACTATTCCCCACCCCACCCCACCCCCCTAAGGAGAACCCTCCTCCCCTGGGTTAGTGAAGCTTTAGGCCATGCCTAAACAGATTTTCCTGAACTAACAAACTGCTGTAGTTCTAATTTTCATTGGAAAAGAAACATCTCTCTACAACATTTCTTGGAGGGAGTTTTTGCATAACCTTACCGTTTTACTTCCCTTCTCTTCCTTACTTTACTGTCCTCAATTCTGGTTTTAAGACAGAACAGATTAGATGTAGCCCATAGTGAAAGGTGTTTTAGTTTTTACCTCTTCCACTTGGAGAGTAGCATTTTTGCTCTTAAGTGAGTTTAGATAAACTAGGCTCTCTAGATGACCAAAATACAGCAAATGAATATTAACACAAGGTACATGCTATGTTTTCCACTCAGCTTCTCTAATTGAAAATAGATGAAACTGTTCAGAGTGGACTTGTAGAATCAGTACTTAAAGAACAGTTTGTAGGCTAGGAAGACAAGGAAAACATCAGAAACCTCTGCTCTCACTCAATAGCACTGCTACTTATGGGGCCAGGCACCCTGATCAGGAAGCAGTCTTCCCAAAGTTGCTGTTCTTTTTTAACTTTAGTCACTGTGTTACCTTTGGAACCCTGTTTTCCCCCATGACAGAAAACATGGCATCTCAAGGAAGGAGAATCTCTTTGGAAAGCTCCTCATTGGAAATACATGACACACACAAAACAAAACTACAAATCCCCTAAGCAGCCATAGAAAATTATGACTTTCAAAGTGACCAGGAAAGTCACTTAACTAAAAGGTTTTTCTCACTACTGGTAGATAAATGATTGTAAGATCCTTTTCATCTCCAATTGTATAACTTTTAGTGTTCAGAGTGTTATCTGACATTTGGAAAAATATTCGGCTGTAGCCTCATAAAATGAAGGGGGAAATTTTAAAAGTAGTTATTAAAACAAATAGAATGAATTGCATTTTGATTTAGATGAAACTCCCAGTGTCCTAAAGTCCTTCTTACCTAGCTTGCTTACTCTGCTTTCTGGCTGGTGTTCTGTTTTTCTTGTGCCGGTATCTATATATTGTTGAACTTTCGATGGGATTTTGCAAACTGACTCTGGAAGAAATATTTTACCTGGTAGAAACTGGTAGATTTATAAATTCAGTGGTTTATGTTTTTGTTAAAACTTTGAGACACCATAAAGTTAGGCATTATGTATTTTATACATTCAGAAATCTTACTGAGTGACCAGCTTTTTTAATGTTTAGAATTTGTTTAATATTTAAGAGACCCAAAAGGAAAAGAAAATGTTTTGAAATGTATTGTTTAATTTTGCCCTCCTGAAAACTAAGCCTGAACAATATTAAGTTGATTGCTCTTTGGTGTCATGCTTGATGAAGTTAGGAGTGTTGGAAGGAGTGGGAAGGAGACCATGTGTCTTGAAACAAGAGCACAGCCCACTAAAGGCCATGAACTTGAGTACCTGCCTCAGCATGTCTAACTTGTTCAGCTTCAGGTTAATCATTTCTGGGGATATGATGTTTGAAGAAACAGGTCACTTTCACCTATTCAAAAATCATGAAGAAAGCAGAGAGTACAACGGAACAGAATGGATTATGGTCAAACTGTTTTATGCAAGTCCACAAATAAGAATATTTCAAATTTAAATTACAAGTAAAATAAACAAATCACTAGTCATAATTTCTTTGGGAAGAAGCATTGTTTTTATGAAAAGTCATGTGAGCGCCCCCTCTTTTAAATGCTGAAGATACAATGTGTATGAGAGAAACAGACATACACATTTAACACATTTTCTCAAACAGGCCTGTCAAGGATGCAGAACTCTCTATTAGGCTGTTATTAAGTGGAAACTGTTGATAGTTTTGGCTGTTATTCATTTGCATGAGCATTTGTCTGCTGCTGTTATTCATTTGAGAAATTTGAGAAATTGAGTGAAATCTAATACAGGGTATATTTGATCTTAATTTTGCTGTATGTGCTGCATTTTAATGTATATTAATGTTGTACTTGTTGTATCCTGAAGTATTCAAGTATCTGGTGAGATTCATTTGTTTGGTTTGCTTTTTTTTGAGAGAGTCTCTTGTATTCCAAACTGGTTTAGAACTCACTGACTAAGGGTGATCTCCATCTTCTGATCCTCCTTACAGATATGGCGCACCATATTAGACTGTCTTATGAGAATCTTGGAAAGTACTAATTGGTTTTTGGCTGATATTGTTCATACTTTTTTTTATATTTGATTATGCTTTTTACTTTGTAAAATTACATACCTGATCAAATTATAGTTTTTCATTCTTTTTGTTAGCCCCTAAAGGAACCATACTACTGTATTTCATGTAAGTCCTGTGTAACCTTATAAATTCACTTAGATTAATCATTTTTCATTATTAAAATAACATTATTTGGCTTTAATTTTATTGTAGTAATCTTAATTACTACAATAAGACAATGCTTATGCTAATAGTTGCTAATCGTTCTCTGGTTTGTGGTTAGTACCTCCCATCTAGTTTTCTGGTGCAATTTTTCTTTCCCTAGTAAAATGAGAAATATTTTCTTCAGTTAATTATGAATAGTTTTGTGAGGTTTACAAATCCTCTGCCTATTAACCCTGCCTTATCTAGTTGACATTTTTACAATAATTTGGCCTTTATTTTTACATTATTATTTTTTCACACTATTTATCTATTTGTTTTTAAAGCAGGATTTCACTATATACGCATGGTTGGCATGGAGCTCCCTATGCAGACCAGGAACATAGATGGATGGAGATTCATACCTATCTCCCCCATAAAGTAGTTTTATAGAATGTCTTTAGCTCAAAACTTAGATGTACCACTGGTGTAATGTCCAAAGTGCTTTAATGGGGCCCATGTTGAGCTCAGGACAGGATTATGT